TATTTTATATTGTATTATTTCATATCTTCATTTAAATTTAAAATTTCCTTTATATTTTTAGATACAGTCAAATAATGTGAACATGTATCATAACGTGAAAATCTAAATGAACGTGTTGTGAATGAGGATGCTTGTGGACTGGGAATTTTTTATTTTTTTTTTACAAATTTTTATTAAAAAAAAAAAAAGTTTTTCCAACGTTTTGACATTGAGTCTGTTACGCTTTTTTGATACAACTTCTCCAGCTGTACAAAACACCCGCTCACACGGCACAGATGAGGCTGGAGTGCAGAGAAATTGTAAGGCAAGTCGGAAGAGGTTTGGATAGATTGCCTTTTGGTTGTCCCAGTATCTCATAGGATCCTGGGACCTGGCAATATTGCCCTCTGCCAGGTATCTCTGCACCTCCTGGATGGCATCAGCTGTCGCACTTTTGGTCTGCCTGCCCACTTCGCTGTAGAGATCTTGCCAAAGGTTATCTTAAAAAAAAACAACAAATTGGCATTTTAGTACATGATCTCCAAACAACAAACAAATAATGCTGAATAACATGCCTGAAGTGGGTACAGACAGCTGTTGTGAAGACGGTTCTGGCTGGGGCTCCTTTGTGCGTCCGATTACAGACGCACATTCTGACCGCAGTCTATGGCCTCATTACACTTGGAGGAACTGCGGAACCCGAGTGGGGTCTAGAAGTTTGGCGCGGCAGTGTCAGTTCGAAACAGTTCCTGTATCGGTCACGTGACTTTCTTAAAGCGATACGTGCACTGACACGGGGTTTTGCTCTACGAGCTCGACGCATCAGTGTTGCCGGACCCATCACTAGTGGCAACTGCTTCGGGCCAGCAGAAATGAAGGATACCCTATGAGAGGAGTAGCGGAAGTTGTCTGAAGTCACGTGAAAAGGGCCCATTATGAAACTGGGAGGGAAAAGTCCTCCACCTCAAAAGGTGCCCTATGATTCTGTCATTCTTCATTTTCTTTGGCCAGGAGATGTTACACTAACCAGCTCGATCCTCACACATACACAAACCCCCACCACCAGCCCCATGCTCACTGTACTGGCATTTTTCAAAATTATGCAGTGGGTGTAGTTAGGCTCAGACCTAGGGGTTTAGTTAGCCTTTAAACCTCATCAGACAATCATGTACCTTTGTTCATTCATTCTTTTTGGAGACATTCATGGCCTCCAAATGAGGTGTCCTAATGACTTTGGTGATCCTCTGACACTACTCTGCCCATTCAGGCTGAACAGATGCAGTCTCACACAGAGATGCTGTGAGAACCTGGCTTCAGTTCTGAGCTGTCACTCATCACATCTTCAACAGCTGGACCTGAGTGACAACGACATTGAAGACAAAGGAGTGCAGCTGCTATGCACCGGACTTGGAAATGTGTGCTGTAAATTGGAAACCCTCAGGTAATTTTATTCCCATATCCTGCAGAGTTTAAGGACATAATAATAAAATAACATGTTTTTTGTTTTTGCTTGAACCTCATTCAAGAGATTACATTATATTCTGCTGCTCAACAGGTTGTCCTTCTGTTGCATTACGAAGAAAGGTTGTGCTTTCTTGGCCTTGGCAGTGAAGTCCAACCCAACCCACCTCAGAGAGCTGGACCTGAGCTACAATCACCTTGGAGAGTCTGGAGTGAAGATCATCTGTGATGCTCTGGATGAAGGACAATGTGAATTAACTAAACTGAGGTAAAGAACACATTTATTTTGATTCCCATGAAGCAGATTAAAGGCTTTTCAGACATTGAATCTGTAACATTGCTGGCTTCATCTATTGAAGTAATGGCTTTCGAGCTTTCGCGTGTGGGTTGTAATGTCACATAATGGCTTTAAATAGGCATAACTGAGCCATAACAAACTGCAGCGGATGCTCATTTTATTTTACATGATATTTGGCACCGGATCCCAAGAGATGACTGAGTTGGAAAATAATATGATGTAAGAACAACATGCACATTTAACTTTTTTGTGCATTGAACCATATTCGTTATATGAAAAATTCTAGTTTAAACGAACAGACACGTTACAATTCTAACCTTGTCAGAAGTATAACCTTGTCATAAAATATAAAAGCCTTCACCCAGGCTTTTATTCTTTTATGTAACTTTTTATGCTGACTGTCTTAACTGCATATTCTATATCCTCCCTACAGTGTGGACCACAATGCTGAATGCTGGTTAAAAACTGGACTGACAGAATGTAAGTTATGTTTGGTAATCCTAATACACACCTCTATTAGATGGACCAAGGAACAATCATAATGGAATTGGCATTTTCCCAATGTAACATTTCTGTCAGTCAGTCACTTTAGTCCAAACTGAAATATCTCAACTTTTAGAGGAACTGGCATGAACATAGTTATTTGTCAATACATTTGCAGTAGGCCCTGTTCTGAGTAGGGCTGGGTTCCTTTTTGGATCTGGTTCCAAGTTGGTGAAATATCGGGCTTCATTAAGCTTTGTAGCCAAAGAAATCTCCTTATTGAACCTCTTATTTGTGCTCTGTTTAGTTTACACTCTTTGGCATCTCTGATAATACAGATGTCACCAAAGGAAAAGTTTACAAATCAGCAATAACTTAGTGAGACTGTTAAATATGTTATGCTAGGCTATGTAGCCTATTACATGTTATGTAAATAAAGCCTGGAGGGTAAACTCTGTTGTAACAAACATGGCAGACCTGCTTAACCACTCTGAAGTCAAAGAAACAACTGCAAAAAGTGATAGGTTGGTACTCACAGAGAAAGGGGAAACACATCCTTTGTTTAAATAATCTTCTAGTGGCCATCATGTTAAAGTAATAACTTGCGTTATATTTCATAATGTGAAGGACGAGTGCTCGGCCTCGCACAGTCTACCACTGCTGTAGTGTGATCTGTCAGGTCTGTAGCAGTCCAACAACCCGTCCACCTTTAAATAAAGCTAAGTATAGTATAGTTCAACAAACTGTCAGTGATTTATGAAAATAACATTCACCAAACGCTAAAGTAGATTTATTAATTTCACTGTTGTGACATTAATAAGCTCACAGTTGTAAGCTTCTGCAGCTGCAGCACAGCCCCCTTTGGGCAGCAAACACAGCATAAGGAAACATGAGTGAGGGCAGGGTTAATGAATGTCACAGAGCAGAGACGAACAACAACACTTCAGCTCAGCAGAATGTCCATGGTTTAGGTTTCATAGTTCATACTGTGGTTAGTGCCAGACTGTTTAGTAAATAATCTATAATAATAATTAAAATGACCAGTTGTGGTTAGAAGAAGCTAGATTCATAAATATTACCTTATTTGTTCCAAAAAATAGTTTAAAGTTGTTTTGCTGCTGTAGTGTGTGAAATTAAAATACATATTTTTATAGTAAAACTTATGTCTTTGGTTCCTGGAAAAGGGCTTTATGAATAAATACACAATTATAATTAATCTGATTCGATAAGGGATTCAAAAGGATTCAAAGTTAATAAATGGATTCAGAATTGGATATTTGATAAAATGCCATCGAACCCACACCCTAGTCATGGGCCCTAGCTGGTAAGTTTTTGGATTGGATTATTTGCTATTTCACAACTGTGAGTTCCTGTATGGGTCAGAGGGTCAGATTGTGATTGTACTGATGGCCCGGGCAGTGGAGGTTGCTGAGCTGAAACATGAGCTATGTTCCATTGAGGATCTCCTCCAGCAGCAAATAGACTTGTGTTCCCAGTTAGCTTATCTCAACCTTGTGAGAACCCAGTGCCTTCCAACCTGTATGTCCAGAAACGTCCTACTTTTAAATGATGAAAATCGAGATGTAATTATAATTACTCCCTTGGGTCCTAGTAATGACAGCAATAATAATTTCTCTTCTGGTCTAGGTCCACTCTCTGTAATGTTCAGAAAGAGGCGTTACTCGGATTTGTCCTTAGACACCCAGGTGACCAAAGTGGTGCAGTCTTACTTTGCACAGCTGAAACAGCTAACCAAGATGTAATATCCTAACCCCTCATTTCCACCGGTTGCGTTCTGAGAGTGACCCAGTCGCCGGAGCTGATCGCTGCCAGTCTAGTCAGTGGTTGTGATTCCGGCAGGTCCAGCTGTGTCGTGTTTCCGATCTCTCCCACATGCAGCTCTCCGGCTGCATAGAGGATGGATCAAAACCGCATCATGGACGGAACACAACGCAGCTGGATCCAGTGGAAATGAGGGGTAAGTCTTCAGTTAAAACAAAATGCTGATGCCAGGCTTTTTACATGCACAAAGAGATGTACTATATTTCACCAACTCTCGCACCCCTTCACTTGTTACCTGTAAGTTTTAGAATTGATTTTAAATTTTAGTGCTTGTTTTTAAAAGCCTTAATGGCCTACCTTCTGCTCACATTGTCTGATTTGGCGTGTGATGCTATCAAATGGTGTTTGTGGTGAACTCAATTATAAGACTAGACGAACTGAGGTAGAGGAAGAGTCCTTGTTGCAAACAAACAAACAGTACAAAGTCCAGGATAACAATCAGGTCGTTAAGACAGTCCAAGGTCAGTGCCGATAAACACATATAGCCAGGAGATCCAAACTCAAGAAGTTAGGTAGGAGATATCAGAAGGTCGTTACACTTGCAGGCAATCAGAATCTGGGAGGGAATAGGCAAAACACTGTGGTCAAAACCAGCAATCCAGGGTCAGAAACTAGAGAGTCAGGCTAAGAATTAATGCTGGAGAGTCAGAGCTGGAGTCTAGAACAATCTGGCAGCGTTCTAGTGAGGAAACGATGCCTTTATGCTGTTGGACACAGGTGTGAGTAATCAGAAGCAGGTGAAACCTATGAACACAGATTAAAGTAAAGAGTCCATAACTGAGATGTGACTAAAAAGGAAGTGGTGTCAAAATAAAGCACATGACAGAAAGCAGATGGGGCAGAATCGTGACACACATTTGTGATTTCTTAACTCCATATGAGCCTGAACACTGCTTCAGATCCTCAGGCAGTGCCCTACTTATGGCTCCAAAATCTCGTCTTGTCGTAAAGCACGTTGTAACTTTGTGCTACTTTAGGTTCTACTTGTGGTGGTACCTGATGGGGGTGGGCACATGCTTTTCATAAATAATTTTTTAAATACAGTGATGGAAGAAGTACTCAAATCCTTTAGTTAAGTAAAAGTAGCAAGATAACAGTGTAAAAATACTCTTACAAGTAAAAGTCCTGCATTCAGAATGTTAGTTAGGTAAAAGTACAAAGTATTAGCATCAAAACATACTTAAAGTACAGAAGTAAAAATATTCATTATGCAGAATGGCATGTTTTATATTTATTTGCCATATTATTGAATTTTAATTGCTGATGTATTGCTACATCACATTTAATGTTGCAGCTGGTAAAGGAGGAGCTAGTTTTAGCAAGATGATATGTTTATAATTTTAAGTACTTCACATACTGGATTTTCCACCGGAGACCAACAAAGTGTTATAATAATACTCTATTTTTGTATTAATTTGGTTATGACTCGTAACTAAAGTTATAAAATAAATGTAGTGGAGTAAAGTACAATATTTGCCTCTAAGATGTAGTGAAGTGAAAGTATGAAGTAGCACAAAATGAAAACACTCAAGTACAGATACCTCACAATTGTACTTGAGTAAATATATTTAGTTAATTTCCATTCTCATTCTCCACGGAAGGATATAAATGTGTTTGCTGTCCATCCTAACTGTTGGTTCTGCACCACACTTAGCTTCTGTCCTCCTCTCACACCTCTCTCTTCCTGACCCTTTCTTGCCGCTTCAGCAGCACTGGTTGAAGTCGAAATATTCAAAGCAAATGAACTGGCCAGGCTGTTCAGCTTTCCCACTGTCTTCGTCTTTTCTAATGTTAACTCAGTTTTGCTAATACCTTTTGTCCACACTGTCTGCGCCTCCTCAGGGCAAGTCCTTTGAGTCTTGGAAAATATTTTTCAGTATAGAGTGCTGTAGGGATGACATGTTTGTAGGCCAGTCCCAATGTTAGCCACACCCTGGTTTCCATGTCAGAAAGCCAATGGGAATTTTCCATAGACTTGTGGATAATTGCAGAAAATAAGCAAAAAAAGAACAGTTTATGACACTTACACATTTTGTTCACCAAGATAATCTTCACAGGTGAACACCACTTTATGACCTGGTTGAGCTTCCAGTATTTTTTTTTTTTTCAGAAAATCTAATTTATGTTCTTAAGTTATAATGATTTATAATTTCTCTTTTTCCTGACTCCAGACACATGTGAGCTTACAATGGATCCAAACACAGCTCACAGACTCCTCATCCTCTCTGATGACAACCGAAAAGTTAGTCAAGGCATAACTGAGCAACAATATCCTGATCACCCTGACAGGTTTGACTACTGGACTCAAGTCCTGGCCCAGCAGGGCCTGACCAGCCGCTGTTACTGGGAGGTGGAGTGGGGAGGAAAACTGGGCAGGGCTCGGAGTGGCCTACAAGGGTATTGGCCGCAAGGGTGTGGGAAACAACTGTGTGATGGGATACAATAGGATGTCTTGGAGTCTGCACTGCTCTGCTCATGGCTATGCTGCATATTACAATATCAAGAGCATTGCTATTCCAGTTCCTTCATCAGGTAGCCACAGGGTGGCAGTGTATCTGGACTGGGAGGCCGGCATCCTGTCCTTCTACAGAGTTTCTTCTGGAAGGTCACTGACACACCTGTACACCTTCTACACCAGATTCACTGAGCCTCTTTACCCAGGGTTCAGAGTCTGGGACTATGGCTCCTCAGTCACAATGTGTCAGCTGAAGTAGACTGGTGTATCTTTAACCACTTCAGTACACATTTTGAGCAATAACTTATGTAGAATGTTTTCTTTTAAAGGAGGATTTACTCATCCTTTAATCGCTTTACACTGTTGTGGTGCTTTCTGGGAAATGTAGTTTACTTGGCTTCATATTGCTGAGATCTGTAGATGTTTATCTTTTTTTTCTCCAAAAGGTAAATTTGCAGTGGTTAAAACATGATCATTAGAAAAGAGAAAACACACCTTCACTCTGCTGCTGTTTCTATAATAAAATCCTTTTTTTACGTTGCACTGTGCACGTGACTGATGTGGAGGACCAAACTTTGGTGCAAATGTTGTATTTAATATGTTTTTCCAACATGAAATAAAAGATGATTTTAGGTAATGGAAATACAACGGAGTTCAGGTGTTCCTTTCCTCCTCCAGGTTTTTATTTCTCACACTGAGCCTGTAGTGATGTCAGTAAAAAGCTTTAAGAATTAACCACGATGACAGCGGAGATATTAACAACCCAAGTCTTATTCATGTAGCGTTTCCATCAGTTCTGTTGACTCCGCTAACGTTTCTGCTCTGTGATCTGGAGACACAGTGATGTGAAGACAGAGTCCAGTACCACGTACTGTACGGTGTGAGGGGTCAGTGGACCACTCAGCGAGTCCCCTGTACAGATGATTTCAAGGTGTTTACTACAGAAGCATTCGATTCAACACTGTTGAATAAGATCAGTGGAAAAAAAAAGCAACAACAGATTTAACCATTACTTAAAGTGGACTTTAATTATGGTTATCTTTATGTTGGAGCAAAAATCACTTACAGAAAATGACAAAGACAAACCATAAAGAAGGGTATTACAACACTGGAAACACTACTGTTTTACTTTTGATGTGTTCCACAGATGTCTGCACATCTGGATATGAACATGAATATATGTAAAGTCATAAGGCTGATTGGCTGAAAGAAGTGTGCTAGACAGACCTGCAAAATGTCAACTTTTTATATCACATTGGATATAAAGTAGATGTAACAGTTAATAGATTAATTAGGTTGTTGATCCGAAAAGAGAATTGGTCCGGTGCTTAATTTTTCAAGAACAAATACTAAAAATCCTCCTGTTTCAGTCTTAATTATGATGATTTACTGCTTTTGTCTCCCATCATAGTAAAGTTAATATTTTTAAGTTTTAAATTGACAGATTTAACACTATTGTGAGATCACCTCTGACTTTAGGAAATGTGAGGTGTAACTCATTCTTCATTGTTTTCAGAGGGTATATACAATTGACTCATCAAGGCGATGCTTGGCAAATAAAAAAAATCTACACTGAGAGTGAAGTTATGAGAATTCCAAGTTGGAGATAGACTTCCAGTCCTCAGATAATGTCAATCAATCAATCAAAAATGTATATAGCATTTTAAAAGCAACATCTGGTTGACCAAAGTACTTTACAAAGGCAATGTAAAAACCAGAATAAATAATATCAATAGAGAAATAAAACAACATAGGAACATAAAGACACGAAATACACAGAATCAATAGTTAAAAGAAGGAAGGATCAACTGATGAACATGTCACGTTATGTACTGTATGTTTACTCTGAAGCTGAAATTTGTGGTCTGACTATGGGTTACATGCTGTTTCCCCCCCCTTTGGAAAACAACAGACAAGGTCAGTGACTTCTGGGAGTTTCATTGTCACTGTGAGCTGAAGCAGCAGTGCACAAAGCCCCTGCACTCCCCTTTGCGGGACATTTCTGGGATTTTGCACCAGTTGTTTCTCTCTTGGGTTCTGTAGCGACACCAGATCATGTAGGGTTAGATCCTCCAGTGCTGTGACTGCATTGTTAGCTTCAGTCAGTCTCCTCACCTTCGTGCAGAACAAACGTATGCTGTGGGTCAGCAGTTGGATCGTCCTGAGGTTGGATGATAGACCGCATGGTTTGGTACTGCTTCACGCTGGATTGATTAATATTCAGTCTTCCTCCTGTCTTCATCACATGGACCAGCTGGTGGACCAACGTCCCCTCATACAACCTGAACAACATCAGAGAAACGAGATTTCCCCTTGTTGGTAAAGGAATACAAAGTATCTGCAGGTCTGGAAACATCTTAGAATGTCAGTTACCTCAAAAATGTTATTAAAAGATGCAGCTCATGATTTTATGTTTGTGTTACTTTTTACAAACCCTATCCAGAGACCAGCACCACACACTGTTGTCCACCAGCTATTAAATCCCCTCAGTGAGCCACACTGCTGCACTCGGGGACAGGCTTCCTCCTCAGAAAAAATGGGAGGCAATCTGATTTGAACAAACCACTCCACAGACTGAGAATGGCATCAATGTGGACAGAGGCACTAGTCTCTGCTCTGGTTACACTGTGCCACTGGTGTGTCTCACTGCACATAATGTTTTGGGATTTATACAAAATAACAAAACCATAAAAAATCACCAGCCTCATCTTTAAATGTTTACATTTCTTTAAAAATCAAAGGACAGACTTTACTATATATCATCTGCATACTGATGAAAATCAATACAACTGTGGAAGCATATAATAGGGAGACTGAAAAACAGTGGCCAGAGAAGTGAGCCTTGAGGAACACCACAAGATAAGATATTGTGGAACGGTTATTACAAGTCAGATAAACCACTGTACACAGTACTGATCCAGAGAGACCCATCTAATTCTCCAGCTGATCAAGCAAAAGATCATAGTTGTCTGTATTCAGTGCAGCTGCTTAAAATACAGTGAGGCCTTGTTCAAAGCAGAGACCAGTGTTTTACTGTTTGTGGGGTCTCACCGTGCAATCTGGGGTTCAGGTAGAGGGCAGCCCAGAACCTGGTTCAGTTGGATGCTGTCCTTCAGGCAGAGCTGCCATTGGTTGAAGGCATGAACCACATTCACATCAAGCCTTTGTTTATTAGCAGGGTGTAAAGCTGCAAGACACGTAACACAAACCTCATTCACTGGTTACAACAGGAACAGCTACTGTAGAACTACCACTTCCATTTCCCTTATACTTAGTGCTTAACTGTGTCGAACATTTCTGGAAATATTCTTGTAATTAACAACAAAATAGCTATTTTTAAGGGAATCATCAGGACTGTTTCCAGGAAGTTAGCTGAGAAACAAGGGGCCTGTAAAATAAGGCTACTGTTTTAATTGCTTAATAACTGTGGGTGGCTGTGGCTCAGGGGTAGAGCAGGTCGACCTCGGATTGCAGCGTTGACAGTTCAGTGCCTAGTTTCCCCAGTCCAGATGTCGAAGTGTCTGTGGGCAAGACACAGAACCCCAAGTTTTTCCCAGTGGCCAGACCAGCACCCTGCATGGCAGCGCCGCCACCATTGGTGTGGGTGAATCTACGAAGGGCCTTGTCCAGTAATGTAGAATAGCACTATATAAGTGCAGGCCATTTACCAATTGCTTGGTCATTTTTCCAGAAAAAAGGCCAAGCATTCTGTGGTTTGAGCTGCTCAAATTTAAAGTTTTTCTGTTTTATACAAGTGCAGTTCTCCTAAATTGTTACTTGTTAATTGTTACTTACAAAACATTTGAACTGCATTTTTAATGTATTATAGATCAGTTAAATAATGAGAAAAGTACTTAGTGGAAGTTGTATTGGAAAAAATCTGGATTTTCACTCTGTGAGCAGTGAATGGAAGCTCGAGCTTTGTCTGATAATCTGATAAGGCAGAAAATAATCTAGAAGTATGATGGACACCTGAGATGTTCAGACCCTAAACTGAAGCATCATGAAGTATTTGTGTTTATTACCGGCTCGTTGTCTCCATGTGTCTACAATAGTTAGTCCCAGCAGCAGCGCCTTCAGCATCATCTGGTCTGGAGGAGGCTGAGCTCTCTGCAGCCAGTAGCAGGTGACGGCCACAGGGAGGCGCAGCTGAGGTGGGAGGCTGTTCAGAGAGGCCTCGGGCACCCCCAGAGTCTCCAGTAACACCTGTAGACGCTCAGAGGGGTCCGCCTGGGCCGACATACGGCAGCAGAAGGGCAGATATAGAATAATGACATGAAAGTTACTGTAACTTCATTTATACCCCTCAGGGACATATTAACACTCATTTACACTGGTGTTGATTAATGTGCACTGTCTTATATAAACAGGCTAAATCAGCAGCACAGGTAAGAGCTTATCTGACTGTATTGTCTACATTTGACTGTTATCACTACGTTTAGCCATATTACTAACATAGCTAAACCACAGCCAGCAGTGGCAACGCCCAGTGTAATGTGATGTTTGAGGTGGAAGTTGAGCAGTCCCTGGTCATGTTGTAATTTATGAGAGGACAATTGTTTGGTGTTCTGTTTTGCAGCTTGTTTGACAACGAAACGTGTAAAGAAAATGATGCACTTGTTTGGATGAATCCTAAAATCTTCACCTTATCCAGTGAGTTGAGGTCCAGCCGCTGAATGACCCCCT